GTGCTGCTAGCAGCGCCGCCGCCTCTACTGCTCCTCCTGCGCCCGCCGGCTGCGGGTAGCGAGCGGGCCACGGTCTCGGTCTCTTGTCTGAGTCTCTCAGTCTCTTGCTTAAGTGGGGGGGGGAAGTTTTGGGAGGGGTTCTTTTTGTTTTGTTTTGTTTTTTTTGTTTCCCTTTCTTTTTTCTTTTTGTCAAAAGAGCAAGGGGGAGAATACTTTTTTCCCCCACTTCTTAACCTGGTCCGACGAATTTGCTAACCTAAAAACTTTTAACCCCGACTAATCAAACACCTGGGGGGGGAAAAAATGTCTGGAGAGAGGAAGAAAATAACCTGATAATTGGGGGGGTTGCTTTTTGGGGGGGGAGGGTGTTTTCGAGGTTTAAAATTGCAACCTAGAGTTGCAATTAAAAAAAAAACCCACAACCTCGCAAAAAAAATTTTGACACCGAAAACCTGTTTTGTGGGGAAAGCAGGAGCAAAACTCTCCCTTGTTTTTGCAAGTCGTGACCATGAAGTGAGAGGGGAGACGCCGTGCTACTGCGGGTGTCCCGCTGCCCTGGGCACCGGCCGCCCGCTGCAGCCGCTCCGCTGCCGTCTTGCGGAGAGAGAGAGGCCTAAGGAGAAGCGAAAAGCGTTGGCCATGCACAGCCTCGGCTAACCGTGCTCGCAGCAGCAGAGAGAGAAGGATCCCCGGGGGATCAGCAGCCCAGGGAGTGTGTGAGGTGTTGGGGGATGTAGGGCTCTCCCGCTGGTAAGGAGCCCGCCGGGGTTTTGGGGCACTGATCTTGGGTTTTTAGTCTCTAGGTGAGATAATACTGTCCCTTAAACCCTTGCCCGCCCCTCGTCTATGGCCATCATGATCCCTCTTCTCTTTGGCAGCAGTAGCCTCAGGGCGATGATGTGCCTGATGATGAGCAGGATGAAGTTAGAAATGGCTCCGCTGTTGTTTCTCTTTGCTCCCCTGCGAACCAGCACTGTGTTGTCTGTAGTTGATTTTGTTGTTGTTGGCAGAGAAATGTCATACCTCCCAGGATGTGCACTCCTCCTTTGCACCCTTTTCTCTGCTCTCCACCAAGTGTAATAATTCTAAAGGGGAAAAAAAAAAAAGACGGGCAACATAGCAATAGTGGAAAGCTGAGAATAATAATCAGTAGAGTCATGAATCTGGCTGGGGTAAAACGCAATCTGTAATTTCAGCTTTTTTTTTTGTAAGCAGAGCAAAAGTACCCCTCCCCCATGGATTGGGCTTGTGCCAGTTGCTTTTTATTGTACACATAAATTGTGGTAAGATTTGGGGTTTTTCTTTTTCATTCTTACCCACTTATTCCTGCGGCTAAACTGTTCAAATTTTTGTTTCAAAATTCTTAGGGTTTTTTTTTCTTGGTTTTATTGTAAAACCTGTTGTCCAGCTATGACTGGACAACTACTTACTTTGTTTCTTGACCCCTCCGATACGACATTCTCGTAAAATATTGCCTGAGGTGCGGTTTTGGGTTACATTAGCGTTTTATCTATTCAGTCGTATTAGCAGGAATAAAACGACTTGTTTCTGTTGTACTTGAGTCTTATGAAAAGGTGCCCATAGTTTAGTGACAGTTTCCAAAGGCTTTAGTACCACCTGTATTACAAAATGGGGGACCCAAACTCCCGGAAGAAACAAGCTCTGAACAGACTTCGTGCTCAGCTTAGAAAGAAAAAAGAATCTTTAGCTGACCAGTTTGACTTCAAGATGTACATTGCCTTTGTGTTCAAAGACAAGGTAACTTGGTTTTAATGTTGTATCTTGTGGCTTATCCTTAATAGATTCCACTGACTTAACGTTTTTTTTAATTGCGAATTGCTGTAATACTTACTTAATTCATGCTTGTCACTTTGCATTTTCATATGTTTGTAGTTTTGTGAAGCAGAGGGTGCCAGTGTCTCGTTAAACGGTTACTTGGTAACTTCTGTATTGGGTAAATATTTTCTTTTTGAAGTTAATGCTGTAATTTGTTAAGCCTAATTGGGATCTGAATTGCGTAATTGTTGTCTGTGAAACAGTTGAGTTGAAAAGAGAGACCTGGCAGGAGCGATTGCTCAAGGGACTGCGTTTATCTGGTTAAAGCAGAAGGGAAGACCTGGCGGTTGAAGGGGGGGAAGTCGCAAAATGCGGCTGAAGTGACCCGAGCGTGCAGGCCTATGTGAAATTGCTGGGACCGTTTCGAAAGGGGGAGGAAGAGGAAGGAAGCCTTTGTTTGCTTGGCTGCCTCATCCGCTGCTGAGTGTCTGGGCCAGGCTGGGGAGCCTGGTGGTGTTAGGAAAGCGAACTGTAGACCCAGAGTTGTGGGAGAGTTGCTGCCCACGGGCGGTGAAGGGCAGCGGGTGCTTCTAGTCAGTGAACGGTGCTGAACAAGTGACGAGGCAGTGAAGGTGGCAGCAAGTGGCACCAGAGGAAAGGCGTGGGGGTGAGCGCTGGAAGTGTTTAATCCCCTCAAATGTATAGTTCTGGCATTCACTGTAATGGTCGTGGTTTTTAATGATGACTCTGAACTTCTTTGTTTGAAAAGTTTCCTTAAAATTCCCCAAGTCCGGTTTGCTTTTGCTTGTCGCTTCTAGTGCAAACAGAGGTGGATATTGTGGGGTGTAATTTCTTGTTACTGTCATAGTAATAACGAGAAATACAAATGTTTAAGCAGTGGTCACAACTAGATTTTATTAGATGTTACAACTTGAATGGTTTTAGTTGGAGCGTTTGCATTCTGTTCTGGCTGCTTGGTAGAAATTCATTGCAGATGCCTGCTTTAAGTCCTGTGAAATTTGGTTGTATCGCAGTGAGCTGAAGATGTCCTTCCAGTACCAGCCTGCTTAAAGTAGGAGTTTAGCTCAGCCTAGCTTGGTCAGCAAATAGTTGCTTGTTATGTATGTTCTGCTTTGTCTGTCATGTCGCTCTTAAATAGGTCAGGACTTCCCATGAGCTGTAAGAAAGGGCTTAGAACCAGATGTACAACTTGAGGAGATTTTAGATGCAGCAAAAAGTTCTTCCCAACTCCTGATAATGTTTTGGCTTTGCTTGAGAGATGTTGAAATATTTGTACTGAGTGTAAAGGTTATGTAGCGAATTAAAATAATCCTGCTTTGAGAAGGTGGTGACTTGTAGCTAACTTCAGACTGGATCTTGATCACCCACTGTCACCAGATGCGGCACAGAAAGACTTCACTCTTCATGAAAGAAGTGTGGTGGGAGGGGGGAAAGTGTTACTTGGTTTGCAAAGACAAGTTTGCAGGGGGCTCTTGGTCAGCCCAAGGTCTCATAGCCTACAAAACGAAAGGTAGTCCTGTTTAGATGCAGCTTTGTTTGCAAGGTTGGCATGTAAGTCTGCATCTCTGGAGACTACAAAAATGTGTTCAGCTTTTTTTTTTTTTAGGAAGCTATTGGAAAGATTCTGTTTAACTTACAAAATTGTGCATCGAAGTCCTAACTTACATGATGTGTACTTTATACATGAATGCTAACAGAAACCCACAAATTCTGAAATAAACTTCCCTAGAAAGGGTTGTAATCTTAATGTAATCTCTGCTTGTTGTTTTTTTTTTAGAAGAAAAAGTCAGCGCTTTTTGAAGTGTCTGAAGTGATACCAGTCATGACTAATAATTATGAAGAAAATATCCTGAAAGGTGTGCGGGATTCCAGCTATTCTTTGGAAAGTTCCTTAGAGCTTCTGCAGAAGGATGTAGTACAGCTTCACGCACCCCGCTACCAGTCTATGCGCAGGGTAAAGTTCCTCTGTACACTTGCTGAATCTGAGGTTTTTTCAACCCTTGTGCTTTTCCTTGTGACTCTGAAGGCTCATCCTGCTTTTTCAATTTTTCTCAACTCCTCTGCTGCACGAGGGTTCTGCCAGCATGTGTTTATGGGGTCTGGTTTGGCGGGTAGCAGCATGTGTATTCTGAAATTCTGTTTAAATACGCGGTGCGTGAGCTTTACCTTTCGTTTGTGTCATTCAGATACACCTTGGGAATTACATCTTCGTGCCATCCGTGTCCTTTAGTAGGCATGTGTGAATTCTTGCAACAGCTCTTCCTGTGCAACTAAGTGGTTTTGCTTTATGAATATTGGAAGACAGACAATCTTTGCTAACGTTTTCTTAAAGTTACAATTTATATTAACTGGATACTGATACTGTAACTCAGTGGAGGGCGAGGAGGACTTTAGTTGTTCTGTAATGCAAATGGAAAACCACGCAAAGAAGGTAATAACCACCTTTAAGTTACGTGCCTGTGTAGATAAGTTGTTTATCTGTGTGCTTGCTGCTTCCAGGATGTGATCGGCTGTACCCAGGAGATGGACTTCATTCTTTGGCCTCGCAATGATATTGAGAAGATAGTCTGTCTCCTGTTTTCTCGGTGGAAGGGATCCGATGAACCCTTTAGGCCTGTTCAGGTATTTGCTGTTTTACTTCAGTAAGTAACTTAGACCTGGAGGGCAGGAAAAGTCCCCTCTCTTCTTAACCGATAAGTCGACAAGGTACGTGACTTCTGCAGGTGTTAGGAAGTGCCCTGTCTGGTTTTACTTACAAAGCAGTTATAAAGTGTGTCTGAGGTGGATGGAATTCTTGCATTATAATATTGCCTTGAAATAAATTTTGAACATTTTAGACTTACTTTTTCAGTAGCCAGCTTTAGCTGTTGACATTCAGATTTTTGAACAACGTTGTAGGTGTTTTCTGTGCCGGTTCTGCAATAATAGCAAGTTACTGAAGAAATATGCTGTAGGTGTGCAGGGATGTTCTGCCACAACGAGCACCTTTGAATTGTTAATACGTCATTGCAGTGAGTATTGGCAGAATGAAACGAGGGGATTCCTCAAATTGTGCCAAGACTCAAGCGCGTCGTCGTCGCCGTGGTCCCCGATTTCTGCTTTTCGTGGAGGAGAAAAGAAAAGAAACAAAAATGGTTGTAAAGCCCCAAATAGGAGGAAATTAATGGGTTAGAGGCGAGCTTTAGCTTAATGAATATTTTATTCCCCTCCTTCGCGCAATGCAGGCCAAGTTTGAATTTCATCACGGTGACTATGAAAAACAGTTTCTGCATGTTCTGAGCCGAAAGGACAAGACTGGAATTGTTGTCAACAACCCTAACCAGTCAGTGTTTCTCTTCATTGACAGACAGCACTTGCAGGTAAGCTGCTTTTGTCCCTCTTTAGCATGCATGTTTTAATCATAAAATGCTTTTTTCTTAGGAACATCAGTGATTTTACTGCAAAATATGCAAGTAGAAGACTCGATGGTGCATTCATGCTTGCACTTCAGTTTCAGAGGAAGCTTGTGCTATAAATAGGATTCATTCATGTGAAAACTAGCTGTCGGCCACAGATGTGTTCACACAGAATTAATTTAATGTTCTCGTGTTAAATAAGTTCTAAAATAGGCTTAACAGGGTTTTGGAAGAATTAAAACACTGGCTTAATTCGGGTGATAATCTAGAAATGATTGAACTGAAGAATGAATGGGATAGGGAAAATATTTTTGGCATTAGGGGTTGCAGCCTGATTCTGAGTTGAGGCCGTCGATACGGATGAAATGGGGCTTTTACCTGTTGTTCCTTCACAACCAGCAGCGAGGCGATAGGCAGGCTGGCGGTCTGCCCCTTAGGCTGGCGTTCACTTTCACGTTTAATAGCTGTTCTTTGGGTTTTCTTTGCCTCTAGACTCCAAAAAACAAAGCTACAATCTTCAAGTTATGCAGCATCTGCCTGTACCTGCCACAGGAGCAGCTCACTCACTGGACGGTTGGTACCATAGAGGATCACCTCCGTCCTTACATGCCAGAGTAAGGTACTGGCCAGCAAAATGGGGAAGATCACAGAACGCAGCAGTGGATTTTCACTTTCCTCACCACTTTATTCTTTCAGAATTTTGAAGAAAATGGACTCATGCTCAGAACACTATACATTGTGAAACTTGATCATCCTGGATTTTTTTTTTATCATTTGTATCTCAGAACTTTACAATTTTTTTTATTTTTTAAGATGTTTTCTGCACGGACCTTGTGAAAGAGAGGATGCTCTGCACGCTTCTGCACTGCATCAGCATCTTGCGAAAATGTGAAATGAAGGGACTGTACACTGAAACAAATGTATCCGAAAGCACAAGGTGATCATTTGTGGTGGTGTTCCCATTTGTGCTGGTCATGCCCCCTGACATCTGTAATGTTAACCATCAGTATTTGGAGGGTGAGAAGTGAATGTAACGGGTATAAAAGCCTTATAGCTTTGCTGTTAATGATTGTATCGAAGAGCACTATCATTCATTCTAATGAACGGGAAAGTGGCTATTACAGTAGGAAGTAAATGTGGGGAAGAAATCTTTTTTTTTAAAAAAAAAAGCATCTCATTTAATGTGTAGGCATCTCTTGCCTCTTTTATTTTGCTGGGCCATGTCTAAGTTTACTGGCACTTTCGGTTTGGATCTCTTTCCCCAAGTTGCTGTATAACTGTATGGAAGTATTCTTTTGAGTTGGATGCATTTATACAGATGAGGCAGACCTGGAGTCTGAAGTTGCTAAAGCAGCTAAAAATAAAATAATAGCTGCGGAAACAATGTTGGTAGAGGATTATTTTTTCTTGAGAGTTGAGACTTGTAAACTTGCAGGTGAACTGTGCAGGAAATACTGGTTTCTAAAACATTTCTTATGGAAAACCCAGCGAGGTTTTTTTTCTTTTGGAATAGACATTATATACCAATGTAAAATAGTGTTTGGAGTGTCAAAAGTGGGTTCTGACAGAACATTTTAAGATTGTGCAATGCTAAAAGGAAGACTACTGTATAGTTTTGATGACAAAGAAGGCTCTGCTTAAGGGTTGAGTACTTTACTGGAGTAAAACTGCATAAGCCTGCTCCCTTTGGATAAAACTAGTGCTTACTTGTTTAAAACTTGTATTTAGCTTTTGTTTGGAATTGGAAAAAATTGGAACTTAAATAAATTAGGTGAAAGATGACTGGGTTTGTTTATGGAAATCCTATGACTTAAATTTTAGTAGCGTCTTACCTCTTGACGGTGTCCCCCGTGGCACACACCGAAAGTGTGGAGGCTCTAAAAGGGGTATTAACAAAGATCAGCGGCAGAGGTGTCCTTACGTGTGTGGGCAACGTGTTTGTTTTGGAAAGCAGCTGTTGGAAATAATTGGATTACTGGCATACTGTTGTCTCGGTACGTGGATATTTTTAGTTCTTCGGTCGTAAGGTCCTACAGGTTAAACTGGAGCACCCTAGAAAAGCACCACCCGAAACCTCCACCTTCACGTTCATAGATGCTTCGGGTTACAAAGAAATACCCTGAAAATGCTGCTCTACCGAATGCAAAGAATGTTTGGTAACCACCATACCTGCTAACAGCACTTACAGTTTCCCTTCTGTAAGTGTCCCTTCCTTGCCCGGCCTGTAGGATACAATACCAAGTGTCCATGGGAAGCTTGAGGTAGGTGTTGTAGGGTCTCAAACGTTTTAGGTTTCATGTATTTGGGTTTTGCTTCCTGAGTGTAATCTCTTTGTTCCTTCTTAATTTTTCCTGTTCACCTCACAGCAGTGGAATGTGGCCGTCGTTACCTTGGTGAGCAGAGCAAATGACTTGGTAGGTCTTGCCTTAGGAGTTTTGGGTTTTTCTGTTGGAAGACACCTCAAGCTCATGGCTTGAGTGGCTGTGTCCAGCAGGGGTACGTGCTGTCACGGTATGACCCTTAACATTAATTCTCTGTATCTCGGGGACAACTGTTCAGTTGAATGGCTCTTTCACTCGTGTGGGACACAACACGCACGGGCTTCTGGTTTCTTCTTTGTGAGCGTGATCCCAGAATCAGTTGCTCGGCATCTGCATTGTGAGAGTTGTGAAAAAATGCTGAAGGGGACCCACGGGCTTCCAGAGCAGGAGAATCTCGGGGAGCGTATGAGAGTTTGTTCTGAAATCCTTTGGCACCTTTGAAAGGCGGCTCTTTCCACGTGAGCAGCTGACTTCTGAGGGAAAAGATTAAACTTGAAGTTGTCCCACGCTTTCTCAGTGGAGCTTCTCGTGCGGTCTCGGAGTATCCTTCTGTTGGGTTACTTGAGCACAGTGCCCTTCAGAAGGGAAGGGAAGCGGTTCACAGTATCTAGCTCTTGCTTTCAGCCCCTCTTTGTATCAGCTCAGTGGCTTTTTGGTAGGCTTTCTTCAAAGTGTGGGGTTTCTCTCGCAAAACTTAATGTTCATAAAGCCCAGTTTGTGACTGTGTAAACCTCATCAGTTCAGTGGAGCTGTTTGTAAATACGAAAAGGGCTCTTTGGTAGGACAAGAGTTTGGTCACTACCTCCTGTCAGCTGCTCGCTGGCTCCTTGGGGAATGCTCGTACCAAGGATGGAAATACACCCAATATCTCACCTGAACCCGGGGGTTTTACCAGGCGATGGCTTGAGGATTCGTCCCGTCAGCTTGGCAAGTGCGAACGGGGCAGGGATGAACGTAGAGGCAGAAAAACCGAGACAGAGGCCTGTTAGATCTCTTGCATCTAAATGAAGTGTGTGGCCAGGGGAAACTTGTGTCAGGTGCTGCCCGGGTGACAAGGAGAAGCTTCTTCAGTGCCGTACCCTGCGCGTGGCTGTATAGTTTCCCTTCGCTTTGCAAGCGGCCTCGAGCTGCACGAGTTGTCAAAAATCAGTAGGATGGACAGAACGGCTTGTGCAAGCGTTGCCCGAAGGCAGTGCGCCTGTAGCTCGCTGGCAGTCGATAGTGCCCTTTGTCACCCCTCCAACAAAGCATAAATCTATTCTGGAAAGCTGTTATGTTCCGCTGGAATGGCTGTGCTGAGTGATACATCAGGTACTAGAAACACATGGGGATTAGTCCGTGTTTCTCTTAAACCAAAACAACTCGAACTAATCTTTGAGCACTGAAAGCTTTAGATCAAGGTACTGAACTTGCTACAAGTTGATGTTTTTGCATAGCAAAACGTTAAGCCTATTAGAAGCAAAGCTGGTGGAAAGGCGGTCATTTTGCCAGTTTCAATTTTCTAGGCTTAACAAAGAAAAAAAAACCAACTCTGAAAGACCTACCAAATGTGTATTTACTAAATACCAACCAAGTGGGGCATCCGTCTTCAGTATGGGTACGTGCTCTGCTCCTTGTGAAGGACCACATCCCTTTGACCCATTAAGGCATAACATACTAGTTTTAAAATTACTTTAAAACCTGAAACAAGTGCCATAAGCTCCTGCTCCTTGTACGTACTCCCAGCTTGAGCGCTCTGCGGGCGTCCTTCCCGGCCTGTCTCTGGTTTGCTGCCAGGAGAACACTGCATTTTCTTGGGCTTGTCACGGGCTGAGTCATGGGGTTACTGGCAGTTAATGAACACCATCTCCTGTTCAATCGGGGGTCTAGGGGGTTGAACAGTGAGAACAGTCGCTTAAGGGGTTTTTTCCCTCCTTCAAGTGTGAGACAATTCTAATGGCCTGTTACAGGTTTCACTGAAGAGTACACTGAGGTTCCTGGCACTGGCGTGGTGGTTGTTAAAAGTCGAGGATCGCTATGGTTACATCCACTGAGCAGATAACTCTGTGAGTTTGCTTAACTGCTCTTTTCTCCTGTTAGCCTGGAAAGGCTTCTCCCATTTTGAGTTCTGCATTTATTGCAGCAGCAAATTCACGAGCTGTGTAAGCCCGCAGGTTCTGGAACAGTTTTCTGCAATGAAGTAATGAGATAAAGGGTTATAATGGTGATTTATGAAAGGAGGGGCGGGGAAAAAGTGTCATGTGGGTGTCTGAGGCATGATACCACCCCGAGTGGTGGTGGTTCTAGGAATCCTTTTTGTGGGATTTTTCATTCTAGTAACCTTTACATTAAAAACGCTCTTTCCCAAACCGCGAGGCCGATGTTACTACTTGTCCCTTTGTATCGTTAGCGCACAAAAAAGGACATTTCTGTGCATAGGTTTGGCCACCATTTGCCGCTGTACTACTTGATGCCGTGCTGGTGCCGTGAGAGGCCTCGGCTTGGAGGTGTCTTCTGTACCCGCTGGGCTGCTTCCCTTTGCCGCCGGTGTCCAGCGGGGCTGCGAGGTGCCCAGAGAGCCTCTACGCTGCTTCCCTCCGCTCTCGCCCTGCTGCAGCGCGCAGGGGCTGGGTGTGCTCTGGCTTCGTTTTGGTGTTTAAATCTTCCTGGTGGTGGTGGTGGTCTTGAAGGCACTGCTCTCCGTGCGTGCGGGGGGGGCTGCAGCACCTCCGTGGGCTCACCGAGGCAAGCGAAGGGCTGGGCAGCGTTTCCCTTCTGCACGGCTGAGCGAAATGCCTTGTAGCGCTGGAGATACCTATGGCCTAGTTCTGCCTGGGAGGGATTAACGTATGGAAAGGTCCCTTAATTTGAGCACGGTCACCGCGTGCTCCAGCACCCGCTCTACCAGCTGCTTTTCTCTCCCTTCAAGCAGCTACTGCTTTTAAGCAAAAAGAAACCAAAGATCCAGGATCTTGCTGCAGCGGGACAGCCCCCAGTACTGTTTTGGTGAACAAAAGTAGGGTTGGTTTGTGGTGGTTTGGGTTTTTTGTGGTGGTTTTTTTTTTTTCTTTTCTGGAGGATAGCCAATGTGTCTTGTTTGATTAATGCTCGCTCTGGTTTAGTGATAACGCGCCGTTGGAAATTCTTCCGTATGCCCTGGCGGTGGCTGGGAGCCAGTCAATGAAGCTGAACAGAATTGAACTGCTGTTCAGAACAGTTACTTAACAGCCTCATTCCCCCCCCCTGGCCCCCATCCCCTTTAGGCGGGTAATGCTTGCCAATTTGCGAACTGTAAACCCAGTAGCCGGTAATTAAATTGGCAGAGTGACCCGGGTGAAGCAGCTCCGGGACCCCTGTGACAGGTGGCCCAACCTGGAGACCAACATGGAGTCCTGATAGTTTCAGCAGCCATGTCCTTCCTTACCCTCTCCCCAGTTTATCACTGATAAGTTGCTTCTTCCCAAGAGCTGGGATGGTTAATTAAACCCCTCCTCACAGCACTGTGATCGGTATTTGACCCGATTAGTAGCTGGATTCTTGGTTTTAAACACCGGTGGGAACGATCCTGTTCCAATTCCTCGTTTTCTTGAGGGATCTACGATGCACAGTGTTGCTGCCTCAGCGTGAGTACTTGGTGTCAGTGGGGATGCACTCGTGCAATAACAGCGATAAACCAGCAAGGAACTCTTGGCTGGCCGGTATACTGGGTGAAGTGGGGAGCTGCTGTTCCTTTCACTGGGAGAGACAAACTGTTCCACAACACGTCATGTACCGCTGTGAAGAGTGTGGCCCTCCCTAAGGACAGACCTCTAGACACCGAAGAGTATGGTGTAGGTGTGTGGTATGTTACAAAAGAAAAGAAAAGGTCAGGGGGAAAAAAACTCCAACAGACAATATGGGAGGGATGGTCTCCTTTGCAGCTGGAAGATCTGGAGCTTACAGATGTCTGTCAGTCGTTGGGTATGTAATCTGGTGTACTAATAAGACTCACAAGATGATCTCATCAAGTCACTTTATTCGCTTGCTTGTGAGGGAATTATGCCTAAATCTGCAGTGATGGAACCAGGTCAACCCCACAGGAGATCGGTTTGTTCTGATGCCAGGTGGAGCCGTGCACCATTTGTCCTTATTTTGGACAAATAAGGTCCAAAATAACGTCCTTAATTTTTTTCCCGTTGCTTCCTCTGAGACTCAGCTAAGGAACAGACTTTTCAACGTGTAGTTTAGGGTGAAATCAGTAAAGAATGCTCCCAAACATTAAGGGTGATGTTTGCCAGTTTACTCCCGAAGCGAAGCAAGCTCAATGGGGACAATTCCTTCTCAGGTCATCTCCAAGGCGAAGTTAAGTTGTGAAATAAATTACGAGGTCAACACGGCTGCTGCTGGTGGAGGGATAACAGACAAGGTTGTCTTAAAATAGTCAGTTTAATGAGCTGCTTCTAAAATAACCGGCCTGCGTATTAATGATGCCCCTCTTGTTAATTAGGCAGCACTAAAATACCGTGTTGAATGGTCTGTTACAAGAGAGGATTCACTCGTACTTCAGGAAGGGTTTCTTTCCTCTGTGCCTCTCTGCCTGCAACAGAATGGCCTCGAAGGGGAACAGGAGGATACTGTTGTTTCTGCGTCGAGGTTTGCCACTCTTAATTTGCCTGGACGCTTTTCAGTTGTAATTAGGTAGATCTGACGAATGCCAAGTGATAGAATGAGACCACGTAACTGTGGTACGTTCCCGAGGCAGCCAGCTGTGGCGGAGGGAAGTCATGTGAAGTTGCGGTGGGACGGTGACACCAGGACAGAGCAGCCCAGCACGCGGCGCAGAGCGTCCCGAATCTGGCACGTATTGAGTTCGGCACCTCCCTTCTCACCCTCGGCCTTCTATGTCAGAAAACAAGTCAAAATCACTCGGGTGCTCCAGTGAGGGGGGTGGGTTTATAGTAGTTGGGGGAGCAGTTTTAATCCTCACTTCTGCTTCCTTGCGCTCTACTACGTGGGAAACCTACGGAGGAAAACCGGTGAGCTCAAGAATGAGGAAAAAAGCTGACTGGGGATGCCAGAACCCGTTACTGGGAAGACAACCATGCGATGATGGATCCTCTCTGCTCATCCCAGTAATTGTAGAGGAGCTGGAGACGCTTAGGACTCAGAGCTCCAGGTAGAGGAAGCTGTAAAGTGGGAATTTATTAAAGTGAAGCGCACAGTTCTGCCGAGCAAGGATTTAAAACAAAGGTTGCTCCTGTAGCAAGTGACTTGACAGATCTGCTTTAGCAAAGCGTTATGTTTCTATAAATGGGATTCAGGGATGATTCCGAGCATGAGTGCAAGGACTGGGGAAAAAAATAATAATGACTGTGCTGCTGAAGAGAGGATGCCACTGTTCAGTGTTCAGCTAGCCAGAGGCGTGTAAGCCACGCAGGCTCTTAAGACGGCCTCAGAGAAAAAGCTGTTGTTGGGGATGTAGATGCCATGAACAACTGTTCTAAACTTGCAGCAGAAATACACGCTGACAGCCTGAGCCCCCTGAGGTGGGTTTTTTTAGAGAACCTCCGTTGAAGGGTAAGCTCTCAGTTATATATCCCTTGTTTGGAAGTCATTTTGGAAGGACTGCTGATGTGTTACTTTAATCCTCATAAAAGAAGTATTAGTAACCTTGCTCACACTGAAAATCAGTCTGCGTGAACAGGTCAATTCACTGGAAATTATTTCTCCAGGTTTGGGAATGCACAAAACCCCCCGAACGGCACGTTTAATCACAAAACTCAGATCACTGAGACGATGAGTCAACTTCCACGACGCGGAATGTCACGTGCCCTTTAGTGTGGATTAACTTTTTCAAGTCTCCCGCTAGAGAAGGGAAACGAAGGCGTTGGTTGATGTAAACCCGCACTGCGTGCGTGGCATCGCTGGTTTCGTCACCGCCTGACGGCCTTGGCAAGGGTCGTCTGCCACCAGTTTGGAGACAGCGGTTAAACCTGGCCACGGCAGCGCCCGGGGCAAGTCTCCAGCTGACCAACAGCAGCTTGACTCAACCACGTTCAACCCAGGTCACCCAATCTACGGCCTTCGCCTGGTGAAAGGCTCACCAAGTTTCTTCTGATACATCTCTAACTCCCAGCTGATGATTTTTAAACAGAGCCAGCACTTGGGGTAGGTGGAGGTGAAAAGCCCTGATGAGGTAACTGTGTTTTCATACTCAGGAATCTCGGGGAGATGATGATGAAATCTCGGGGAGATGATGATGCGATCTCAGGTGAATTTGTGTACAAGGGTTCCACCACACCCTCTCTCAACCGCTCCACGCTGGCAAGCTTTTACTCATCGCAAAGAGATCCCAAAACTATGAAATAATCTTTAAAAAGGTAGTTTCAGAAAGCTTTATTGAATAATCTTGCATTTGTTACAGCATCAGTAAATTCCTTTCTGTATTAGCCTGCGTTACACTTTCAAACCAGTCTCACACTATGTGGTAGGAACTCAGTGCTACCACCTTACAACAAGTAGTTTAGTTTCTAAGTGGTGTTGTTCGAATGTGACGGGCCTGAAGACAGGTTTGCTTTGTCACACACCACCACCACGGGCAAAGAAAACACAGCTCTCTTAAAACACTGACATGCTGGTAAACCATATGGCTGGTCCAAAGGCTCTTCCCTTCTGTACCTTGACCAAAAAAAGCCAGATGCATCCCCGTGCTGTCACGCTCTGTTGTTCATCCCAAAATAGCCACTAATTTTAGGCTTGTAGCAATTCTGGTGGTAATGAAGAAATTTGTTCGTTTATTATGGGAGTGAGACAAATTCACTCCACATGGACTATCACAACTTTGTGCAGATTATTGCATAAGTGAGAAAAATCATTCTATGTGGGATTAAGCCCAACATTATTCTCTTTTAAATCACTTTCTGATATTAATTTCCTAGATACTTTGTGTGTCTACCTTGTGCAATTAACTTTCCTGTTGCCTTATTTGTTAAATCCACGCTGGCAAATGCAATATTTCTTCCTTGCTTCAAAATCTGAGCTGTAATCAGTACGTCTTCTCCAATCTTAGCAGCAGAAGTGTATCTTCAATGAAGAACAAAATGAACAGGTAAGAGGCTGTACAGAGCACAAATCCAAGAATATTCCTGCACTTTAGATTATCATGAAGGGAAGTAGCAAAGGTGAGTAATAAAGACACATCCCTGCCCGCTGGCAAATCCCTGCTTAAAGTCATTGAGTTCCTCTAAGTACTGCAGTGGTAATTTGGTGTGAGAGTTCTCTGAGCAAGTGGTGGATAGCAAGAAGCCCATTGGCTTGGTTCTGAGGAAAAGCCCAGTTTGGAACAGAAACAAGGAGGTATCAGTTAAAAGTTAAGCTCCAAGTCCTGTTCCAGCCACTGCTGCCTCCCTACGGCCTTTCTAGGTGAGTTCTGGCCGGTTCAGCTGCAAAATGTCTCTGTTACAAAGGCTCCAGAAGGTCGTTTCTGTACGGATCCTAAGCACAGGTTAACTGCTTCCCATCCCCTGGCTGGAGAAAAGTCATGGAAAGCTGGGAGGCCTTCAGACTTTCCAGGTTTAACGCTGTTTCCATGCATTAGGTAACTCTTTGTTTTTTATTTACATGAGTAGGAGGGTGTGATTTTTTTTAAAGCACGCTCCCCAGGGAATAGGAAGACATTCCCCGACAAAAAGCCTGGAATTAGGAGGAACACGATCCAACCATGACCTGAGGTAAGGGAACAACATTCAGATGTCAGAATTACAGAGAAGAATGTGTAATTGCTGGATGTAAATCTCATTGAGATAAATCTCCTCAACCAGTCCATCTGTGTACGTGACACCATGTCAAAAGTACGTCAGCCACACCTAATGCTGATGTAGCCCGAGACCCATGAGTTGACAGGGGCAGGGTTTCAGGCTTGTTTCATCCTCAGAGGCTGCTGCTGATCCTCTTGGGATTAAAAAAAAAAATAAAATAACCAAAGTTTCTGTTTCTCTCTGTTCTTTCCATTACTGAAATAGCTTCCTCCTGCCAACTGTTTAAAAAAGCTCTTTCCCAAAAAGGAAAGAGTTGCGTTACAGCAATATTCGATACCCAACCTCACTTGTTCAGTGAAAGCAGTGCTCAGGGTTGAACAAAGCGATTACTGTTGCTGCACGTAACGCTGCCTACAGGTTGTGCTACTCGGTCGTTGTGGATCACCTCCAGGGAGAGCACTCCCCGAAGATTTTAGCCCTTAAACTGGGCAGGGATACGTGATGGTGTAAATAATTCAGATGCTGATCTCTTGCTATACTGCTGTAGGGGGGGAAAAAGCATAATCACAGGAGAATTTCAGGGTTTCGTTTCCAGCAATTTCCTAGTCATCACAGTGGTAGCATAAAGCCTAAATAGATGGCCCAGTTCTACCTGCCCAGTGGAGAAATCGGAAGGTGCAGGGGGGGGCGGAAAGGAGGGAACCTGGTAAAGACACAGATCACTCCCCACACGCTTTTAAGGCCCCTTTTTCTTTTTTAAAGCAGTTTTGATGAGGGGTTACTTTCCCAAGATCTTTAATGCTCTGTGTTATTCCAAGTAGGATTACTTTAGTTCCAATCAGCCATAATCTCTTTGTTAAAAGTAACGAATCAAAGCTGACAAGCTATCACAGCATGAGCAAAGAAGGCTTCAGAACATCTTTATTTTTATTTTTTTTTTTTGGTAAAGACACCGTGCTCTAAATCTGCACTACAGCAAGAACGATTCTCAGTATAAAACTACCTTTAAATGACCGAGACCAAAGGGATCTTCCTCCACTGAGAGATTCTGAGTCAATCTGTAATTCGCCCTCTATGTGAGCGTACAACAGAGCTAAACTGCTTCCTGGCTTAATATTTTTTCCTGCTTTAACGTTTTACGGACTAATACTAAAGAAGGGTTTATAGAAAGCTGCTTACTCTGGATCTTGGTGTTAGAGGACACACTCTTCACAAGCAGAGTCAGCAGCTGAGCCAATTTCATTACGACTAAAATTTACCACCTATCAACATCCCTCTACATTCTACGAATGAACAGGTACTGCGTGTAACAAAGAAAAGCTTAAGGAAGTCCGACTCGTTATTTTGCAACCACATGGCAATATCCCCCCTAAATTTATCAAAACAAGACCTCTGAAACCAAAGGAAACACCTTTTTTTGACGCTACAGCATAGAACTGAAGTACAATGGAGTCAATACCGTGTTAGGGGAAGAAAAGTTGGTGTGTTCTGGTAAACAGGGTGGATGATACCTACGTGATGTTCATGTCCACGCTGACCCCTGGCACCGCTCTTTCTGTGTACAGCAACGCTGCTGTTGACACCACATCCACGAGCGTGGCTGTCAGACCTCCGTGTAACGTGCCGCCTCTGTTCGTGTGCTCCTCTTCCACTTTCATTTCACAAACAACTTTCCCAGGAGTTGCAGAAAGAAGTTTCATCTGTAAAACCAAAAAAGGAAGAAAAAAAAACCCCAAACAACTTACTGACAATAGCACCAACACCTGATACTGCCCTGAACGAAACTGAAAGTAAATCTTGTGTAACTCTGAACTCATAAGACAAGCTAAAAGATGGAAATAGAGTAATTCAACTGTCACATTAGGTGTTTCCATAAATTTTGAGCAGATTGTTGCCTTAGAAAAATTTTGTGTTTCTAGTGCAGATAAATATTTAAGCCGACAGTTTAACAACATTTCAATACTTGCTACGCTCTCAGGAATTGCTCAGGAGACAACATTCTTCTTCAGTTTTCCTTTTGCTTTAACCTGCCACTGAAAAGCCAGGTTGGAGGGAACACAAAACTGCTCTGACTCTCTCTGGGTACCACAGCTGCGAAGGTGTTAGTTCACCAAAGGGAAACGAGGCCGACAGCAATTCATTAATCATTAAACTAGAGCCGCCTCCGTAGAAATCAGTGTTTTGAAGCAAGCCCTGGAAATGCTCAGCAGATCGGCCTCCCTGAACTGAAATTCGTATTCCTGGGCAGGAGCACCCCAGGCTGCATCACACGGTATGACAGCATCACGACTCGCCTATACCCTCTGGTTCCAGCCCATCGGTGCTGAAGAGAAGATGACAGTGCATCTGTGGTACCACACGCTCCCCTGGAACCAACACAAGAAGCTGGCTTTTTGAGACCAAGAAGTTAGGGCAATTCAGTATTTTAAAATCTTTTTTTTTTTTTTAAGTTTCCTCAGTTAGTAGCCCTATATTAAAAATCTGAGATGTATGCAAAATCTGAAAGCAGATTTTGCAAAGCTGGGGTAAGTTCAGCAAATATATTTACACCTACAGCTAAGACTCTGAAATACCTTTAGACTGTCACAAGTGAAATGTGAGCATAATATTATAACTCCTACTAATTTTCTCTTTTTTTTTACAAAGTTTTTAAAAAAAACTTACATATTTCCATACCGTATCAGCTGAGCTGACTTAAATATTTTTAACCCTAAAAGGAATTAAGATTGAAATGTCTCCAGTTTCGCTATTGCTTACTTATAACGCAGTGTAAAAGCTCAGTTTCAGCCAGTGTCCCTTTCTGATGGTTTATCCAAATTTTGCAGAGAAATAACGCTAAGATAAACGGTGATGTAATACACACAGTTCAACTACGAATGGAAAAAGCTGGAACTACGCGGAGGAGAGATGACTGAGGTGTCCCAATACAGAAATAGCACCTTGATCGATGAAAACCCCAACTCCTAAACCAGGCAAGTTGCACCTTGCTCGCCTGGAGGACCAAGTTTCTGACAGGATTTCTCCTGAGGACTTTACTGACGCTTGACACTGGGAGCAGATGGCTCCCACCGCCATCAGGGAGTGCTGCGATCCGTCGGCGAGGCGAGGAAAAGCATCTGGTTTAAGTTGTCATTGCTCTGATCTGGCACGAACTGCCTCTTCTCCTTGACGAAAATAGTTGGGTATTTGAACGCTTCCAGGACTCACGCTGCCAGAGCTGCTGCTGCTTTGTACTTCTCTCCTCCAGCCCTTCTGGGCCTGTCCTCCCACGCGTCTGTCGCGGCGAGCCGTCTGCTGCTCTGGCTTCCAGCCCCTACTGCGATGCACTGCTGCTTTGGAGAAAGGGCTTTAAGACCCGCAGTCGTTAAGCCCTATGTAGATACCACACTGGAATTAAACCAGAAACTAAGTCTGGTGCTGGAGCTGAAAAGTTTCAGACTCAAATCTGTCTGCTCCAGAACGGGAAAAATCTTGAGTCATATTTAGTTACGGTACGAAAGGCTTCAGGTATCTCCCAGGAAAACAGCAGATACTTTTAGATTCAAACAAACCTGTACTTTTACTGTTGTTATGATTGTGTTCATGGCATCATAACTCTAGAAGGAGATTGCAGAAGAAGCCTAAAAGAATTTCAGAGCAAGGTAGGAAGCCTGTCCCCCAAGGCTCACTTCCAGCCTGTTACCTTTATGAACTGAAATACCGCATCTGGTCTCCACTTCGGATTTTAAGGTAAAGGAGAGTAAAGTTACCCCAGTGAAGAGCCGACTAAGAACTAACTGGACTCTTTATAATCACTGAGCTTCTTAAAGTGTTATTCGTTTTATATACAAGACCAAAATGTCTTGGGCAAACAAGACAATAAGAGTTGCTTTGCAAATAGTTGCTGTCTATTAAATGTATTGCATCACGGAGCTGTCGATGAAAGCGCCGCTTCCAGTATGACATTTGCTCCTCTACGATGCAGAACACAAATTTTGACATCGTTGGTTTTGTCAGGATACATTTACCGCATCACTTCGTGTCACAATCACACAAGTAAAACAGAAATTAAATGGAGAATTCTAGCGCCGCAGAATTTAATGACGGCACCGAAACCGCTTCACAGGACCGCTCTACACAGCGGCTACACTGCTGCACGCCACAACAGTTAAGACAAAACAGTAACGTTTCAACTTTTTTTTTATCCTAGTGTCGCATTACATTAGAGCTGTCCCAGTCAAATACATTTATTTAGACTCAGCCTTGTCAGAAGCTCCCAACACACCGAGGCGCTTTCACCGGACGTCAGGGTAGGTGTGATGTGTTGTAACGAGCTACCTTTTTTATTTTTAAACAGAGAAGAGCAGCGCTTTATTTCATAATTTCACAGTCGTGCAAGTTAGCCTAGTCACGGGTTCTAGGAAGGGAAGAATCCTAGTTACTGAATAGCTCATGGAAGGTCACTCAGCGCAATCCCCGTCTTCAGAGGTGCTGGAAGGCAGCTCTAGCATTTAAAAAGAGTTCGTGAATAACAACCGTGTTTTCTACCGCGTGTTACCCTCCGGGCCGTACACCCCCGGGGGGTTCAGGGACCGCGAACCCGGGCAGAACAAGGGCGGCCCGGCCACCCCACCGCAGGCCCCGGCCTCCCCCCT